AAAAAAAAAAAAAAAAAAAGACAACACGAGACACACTTCATTTTTTTCACAACCTTAGCCTTATTCGGTATTTTCTTGCGAGGACCTCCTGGTTTTGAATGTTCAGTACCCTGCAAGGAAAAATATGATCCAGAAATGTTTTACTTGTAACACACAAAATAAGATAAAAAGAAGTCATTCGACCTATATCCTGCATCGATAATCTGTCTGTGAAGTTCATCAGCCCTATGGTAATCTCTTTGAGCACGAGCCTGAGATCTTTGAACAGCTGCAACTTGGACTCCTCGAGGAACATTCGAAGACTCCCTAGCGTCGTTAGTGCTAACATATACAGTTATTGTATCACCATCTGCTACAGCCTTTACATCCACCTATAAATCATTGTACACCTCAACAAAAATCCTTTACAATGAAGCAAAATATCCCGAATTTCTCTGTAACTCAAATACTTCGCTCAGAATTTTACAATGAAGCGAAATACCACATAACAAAATGTGATTCATTTCTCTTAATTTCATGATCATCAATCATATCACCGAGAAAATCCAGTAACATTCCCCAGAACAAATTCTTCCACAATTCTCTTCAAAATAACAGAAGGGTGCGACAAAAGGTCGAACAATCAGCCCACAAAAGCTTCAATTCCCAACAAAAAACAGTTTCAAGATGACATTTTTACTTACCGGGAGAGTGTGCAATTCGAATTTGAGTCCATGTGGTTGTGATGTAGGAGCACCAATAGTGAGCTCGACCAAATCATGCGGTAGAGGGAGACCGTAGAAAGCCAATAATCCCTATAGAAAAAACAATGCAAGTATGCAACCGAGAAAATATTGTGGTTTCTGTTAAAAATTTAAAACCATACATTTTTTATTTTATTTTCTAACAATTCAAAAAGATTATATTAGCTAATACCTCAACATCTGCCTTCTGATGTCTCTTTAAGGTCTGAATTACGAGCCTCGAAGCTTCTTCCGGCGTTTTAGGAGGCGGTTTTGTTTCTCTCCATGCCACCGAAAGCTTAGTGTACCTTCACACTCATTCAAAAATCCTTTTAGGTAGTTACAAACGCTTGAAATTTTGTTCGAGCCGAGTAAACAAGCTTTATGCATGTGCAGAAGTTAAAAAACCAGGCACCATACAAAAATCTGAAACAAAACAACCCCATGAAGCACAGTTACCCATTTTCATTTCATTTTGTGTTGAATTCAACTGTGAGTTTTATAGAATCACTATTTTTTTCTTGATAACAAAAAATTAACCACAAAAAATGATATCCAGCAAAGTAAATCACCAGTTGGCTTGAGCTTTTCTTGATGAGACAACATGCTTATTCAGTTCTTGGGGGACCTGAAAATAAAAATTAAAAAAAAAAAAACCCAATATATAAATAAAATTCACAAACTTGGTAAAGGGATATTTTTGCACAAAGCCCACACACGATTTTTTTTTATCTTTCTTTTATCTTTTTTTTTTTGGGTGTTTTCAAGAATCATGGAGTAAAGGTAAGAGCTTTACCTGGTTAGTGATCTCGAAGTTGTACAGATCTTGGGCGAGGGCCGAGACGCCGACGGTGGCCGCCGTGACGCCGTGGTGGCCGGCCGAATCGGAGTCCGGCGGCGGCTTGCAGCATTGGCCGCACAAGAATCTCAGGGCATTTCCCATGTATGAGAATTTTGGGTGTATAAAGTTTCAATCTTTGGGATCAATGGCTATATTGAAGGAAAAAATCTGAGAGCGTTAGAAACATCGGCGAAAGAAAGCAAAATTTTGAAGGGGTGGGTGGGGGCGAGGAAATTGATTTCGATCGGCAACCCGGACGAATCAGGTGAAGCAAACGCACGTGGCGAAATCTCATTGGTTGACTGTTTTTCCACTTTTGGCTTTTGCGTAATATATGAGAATATCTTCATGAATTTGTATTTACAATTTTCTTAATAAAAATGTAAATCTATAATATAATATAAAATATAAAATAATCTTATTTATGTTACCTTTTATAATAATCTAACCATTAAATGGCTTATAATTTATATAAAAATATTCAATTTCGAAACTGCCAAAACTTTTGAGTTACACATAAGAGTGTAGTTGGGCTATGTTTGATAGACGAATAAGATAGTTTATAGCTTATATGGTTAGCTTATAAGTTTCCTATATTCAAATAAGTTTTGTTTGGTAGGACGAGCTTTTTTAAAAAGCTCGAACTCATTTGATAAGCTTCTTTAAGTAGTTTTTTAAATAAGCTAGTTGATTTTTTTATTCCAGCTAAATTATCAGTTAATTTTATCAAACACTTTTATCATATAAGTTATAAGTTAGCTTATCAGCTATAAGTAATAAGTTATAAGCAATAAGCTAAAAAATTACTGATAAGCTATAAGCTAGCTTATCTGCTATCGGCTAGTTTTACCAAACACAACCTTGGTAACTATAATAAACTAGCTTATATAATTTATGTAATTAGCTTACAAGATTCTTGTATTATAATAAGTTTTTGGGATACGCACAAGGGCGAATTTGTTAAATACACTAAATTAGCTTACAATTTTTGTATTAGGAACTATAGTAAACTAGTTCATAATTTATTTAATTAGCTTATAACATTCTTATCAAACACGTTAAATATATCAAACACTCTTAATTAGCTTATAATTTATTTAATTAGCTTATAACATTCATAACATTTAATTAGCTTATAATTTATTTAATTAGCTTATAACATTCTTATCAAACACGTTAAATATACACTACAAGAAATTGTCAAAATGCCAACGGAAATTACCAACAAAAATTTTTCCGTTAGGGGTTGTCAATGGATTGCCGACGAATTAGCAATGCATTATATATACAATTTTTCTAAACATATTACCAACAGAATACTAACAAGATATAGCAACGGAAAATTACATCTTTGTATTCCGTTGGCAAATAGTGACGGAAATATTCCGTTAGTAAACACAAACAAAATACCAATAGAATAGCAACAAAGTCTTTCAAAATTGTATTAGCAACATATTAATCCGTTGGTAAATAGCAACGGATTTTTTTAGTTGGCAAACAACAACGGAATAGCAACAGACATCATCAATATTATATTAGTAACGGATATTTTTCCGTTGGTAAATAGCAACGGATTATTTCCGTTGGCAAATAGTAATAGAATAGTAACAAACTCTTTCAAAATTGTATTAGCAACGGATTTTTCTGTTGGAAAATAACATAGAATTTTTTTATTCGTAAATAACAACTAACATTTTCAATATTGTATTACCAACAAATTATTCCGTTAGTAAATAGCAACAAATTTTTTTCCGTTGGTAAATACCAACGGAATAGCAACAAGCTCTATAAAAATTGTATTAACAAAGGATAATTTTGTTGGCAAATAGCAACGGAATTTTTTCATTGGCAAATACCAACGGAATGACAACAATCTCTTTAAAAATTATATTAGCAACGGATTATTCCGTTGGTAAATAGCAACAGAATTTTTCCGTTGGCAAATAGCAACGAAATAGCAACAAACTCTTCCAAAATTATATTAGCAACAAATTATTCTGTTGGTAAATAAAAATAGAATTTTTCCGTTGGCAAATAGCAACAAACTCTTCTAAAATTGTATTAGCAACGGATTATTCCGTTGGTAAATAGTAACGGATTTTTTCCGTTGGCAAATAGCAACAGAATAGCAACAAACTCTTCTAAAATTGTGTTAGCAACAGATTATTTGTTTGGTAAATAGCAACGGAATTTTTTCGTTGACAAATAGCAACAAACACTTTTAATATTGTATT